GATTTATTTATTTATTTATTCAAACACTGGGTACAGTCAGAAGTGCGGGAGGGTGAGAGAATTCACCAGAGACAGAGCAGGGAGCAGAAAAGACAGACTGACGAAATACACTGCTGAGGGGAGCAGCGGGCAGCAGGAGAGGTCTACACACCATGTGGGACCCTCGCCGGTGGCCGGGGATTGAACCGGTGCTGCAGAGGCTGTGGGCAGCTTTGCAGCCCAGCACTCAACCAATGCGCCACCAGGGAGGCCCAGGTCTTTATTCTTTCTTCATAGAGGAAGGAGAGCTTTGCGGGATAGGATATTCTTGGTTGGCATTTGTTGTCTTGGAGTCTGTTGACTATGTCCCTCCACTCTCTCCTTGCCCATGGTGTTTCTTTGGAGAGGTCTGATGTCAACCTGATTGGTTTTCCTTTGTATGCTATCTGTTTCTTCCCTCTTGTCAGCTTCATTATTTTTTCTTGTCTTGGATTCTTGGGAGGTTTACTATTATGTGTCTTGCTGTATTTTTCCTTTCATCATGGAAGTTTGGTGTTCTTCTTGCTTCTTGTATGTCTATTTTCAACTCCTTCTTCATGTTTGGGACGTTCTCTTCAATTATTTCCTTGAATATTTTCTCTGTTTCTATGTCTCTTTCCTCTCCTTCTGGGATTCCTATAACTCTTATGTTTCCTTTCCTCATGGAGTCAGATAGTTCCTGAAGTCTTTCTTCATTCTTTTTCCTCCATACTTCTCTTTCCTTTTCTGTTTTGGTTCTTTTTATTTTGTGTCTTTGAGCATACTTATTCATTCTTCCATTTCATCTATTCTGCTCTCATTGGTTTTCCTAGAGTTCGTTAGCTCCTCCATTAATCCTTTGATCTCCTGCATTTCTTTCACTTCCCTCTTTAGGGACTCAATTTCATTCTTCTGATCGTTGATTATTTTTCCCATATCTTTTTTGACTTCTTTCAGTTTTTTAATCATGGCTATTTTTTTTAATTTAAATTTTATTTTTATATTCCCCATAAAATTACAACCCCCTTATTTATACCCCAAGCCCTCCTTTCCATGCCCCCCCACCCCCCATAGAGAGTCTCTTGTTCATAGTTATTTGTTGACTTTGATATTTTCTTTCTTATAGTTATTCTTTTTCCTGGTCCCTTATTTAAGTTTTCTAGATTCCTGCTATGAGTAAGACCATCCGGTATTTTCCTTTTTCTTTCTGGCTTATTTCGCTGAGCATGATTCCTTCCAGCGCCATCCATGTTGCTGCAAATTACATGAGTTTATCTTTTTTGAATGCTGAGTAATATTCCATTGTGTATATGTACCACATCTTCTTGATCCAGTCATCTATTTTTGGGCATTTGGGTTGTTTCCAAATCTTAGCTATTGTAAACAGTGCTGCTATAAACATAGGGATGCAGGTGCTCTTTGGAGTTGATGTTTCTGTGTCCTTTGGGTAAATACCTAGGAGTGGAATTGCTGGATCATATGGAAGCTCTATGTTTCGTAGGTCAAGAAATCTCCACACAGCTCTCCATAGTGGTTGGACCAGTTTGCACTCCCACCAACAGTGCAGGAGAGTTCCTTTTTCTCCACACCCTCGCCAACATTTGTTGTTGCTAGTTTTTTTAATATGTGCCATTCTCACTGGTGTAAGATGGTATCTCATGGTAGTTTTGATTTGCATTTCAATCATGGCGATTTTAAATTCTCTATCGGGAGGACTCAGAAGTCCCTCTAAGTCACTGGTGTTGCAGTCTGGTGTTTGGTTGTCTTTTTGTGGTGTGTCTTTTCCCTGGGGACATGCTTGTTTGCTTGTAATTTTTCTTCTCCCTGCTGCTTGTTTTCTGATTTGTCCTGTGCGTTGGGACATTGTGTTGCTGGTACTGGCCGGCATCTCTTTGGTGTGCTCTTTCTGGGATGTTGGGAACTGGTGGTCCAATCGAGTCCAACACTGTTATGCCAGTCCAGTAGTGGTATTATGGATATGTTAATGGTCGCTGTCCCTGAAAATCTCCTTCTTTATTTGTTTAATTCCAGAGGTGGGTCTTGAGGAACCACAGACTGCCCTGGCGGTGGCTGAATCGCCCGCTGGGCTCCAAATCACTGGATCCCCCTCTGGGCTCCAACTTGTTGCCAGGCGGAGCCTGGCTTGTGGGGGCTTTCAGCTTACCTCTGACTGTGGGGACAGCCCTTTCTCAGTTCCACACAACTTTGGTGAGGTCCGGATGCACTCACTAAACTTTTACCTGCCATGAACCAGGCCCGTGCTGAGGGACACCTGGGACAAGGGGCTAGAATTCTGAAAGGAGAGGCTTTCTGGCCACCCTGCAGGCACGATGGGCGTATGATCTGGTGTGGTGTTGTCCTTCTTTGACAGTGGCACCACCACCTTACACAGTGTGGCATGAGTAGGCATTAGTAAATGCTTATGTTTGAGATAATTAGTAAATTTACTTTTGTAAGCAGCCAGGTGTTTCAGATTTTAATATGGTGAAGAAGTGAATGATGAAACTGGGTCAGGATTTTTGGGGTCAGACGGGGTTAGTTTCTTCCTATGTTTGTTGATCATGCTTATGGGACTTCTTGAAGAATCTCCCAGTGATTTAAGCACCACTTGAATACGCACAGAGTGGCCACAAGAAGAGCAGCACACAGGTCGTGCGGCCAGGACGGGGTAGGGGTGCAGAGAAGGGCAGGCCTGGCGGTGGTGTTGTCAGAAAGGCTTCCCAGTGGGTCTGGTGCCGGGATGCAGGGTGGCTGGAGCAGGAGGCTTCTGGCCACTTTCAGCTAGGAGGGTCAGGGCGTATGTGAACTGCACCCTGCACCAAGTCTCCTGGCTCTCCCTGGCTTTCCTGGGTTGAACAGCAGCCACTGACGTAACAGGTACACTGATGTAACAGGTACGCCTGGGCCTTCTGCTCTTTCCTTCCTCTGGAAAGCTCTGCTTCTTTTTTTTTTCTCCTATCACTCCTTGGAATCTTTGGGGTTCTCTCTTCCTGGGTTGATTGAGCAGTGGAATCTGATTCCAAGATGAGCCCCCAGGCCATTTGCCTCAAAGGGTTTCACTTGAAGTCTCAAATATTTCAAGGAATTGCAACTGTTACGAAGTTCAAATTCCTTATCCTTGGTCATTGGTTCTGCGCTCTCTCAAAAGATGTTTTTTCCTTCTCTCTGAGAAGCTGCTCATCCTGCTTCCTCTCCACTTCAGCTCGCTTCTCACTTCTTAGTGCCCAGAACCTAAGATGTGGCAGGAGCCGCTAAGTGAGCTGCAGCCCCCAGCCCCCAGCCTGGTGAGGTACCCCTCCATCTGCCCTGCGGCCACACACGCCCTGGCCCCTTCTTTGTGCTAAACAGACAAGCAGACAAGAAAGAGGAGGTGACTTCCTCGAGTCACTAGTCTGCCTGGGATCTGGTCTCCTGACGGTCTGGTCTCCTCCCAGCCCAGCTGGATTCTAGAGTCCCTGGAACTGGGCTGCTGAGCGCAACATTGACCAAACAGAAGTGACTGAGGGAACTGCTGTCCTCTCTCCTGCCTGCTGCTGCTGCGGGCTCAGAGGAGTTTGTCCAGGAAGCCCTGAGCTTTGAGATGAGGTGGGAGAAGCAGAAGAGGTGGGTGTGGGATGTAGGGGTTTGGGTTTCTGTTCTGATTGGTGTGCTCTGCTTTGCGGGCACTTAGAAACCCCAGCCCGGCCTCCCCCCGACACGCAGGCAGAGGGCTCTTCTAGGTATGCTCATGACTTCTGCGGAAGCCACAGGTGGCGCGGGGCCAAGAGGAAGCGGGACTGAAACTGTCCATTCATAGCCTGGTTGCCGGGTTGAGAGGGCTGGGTGGGAGAGCAGCCCCGGGTCTAGCCGACGCAGCTAGATTGTGCGTCTGTGTGCTGCGCTGCTTCCTTCCTGCCCCCAGGAGACGGCAGGGGCATCCCGGCAAGGGCCTCGGCCCGCCCGGGCCTTTTCGTGACATTGTTCTCTGGACTTCCCCCTTTCTTTTCCCACTTCTTCCACTTCGGGGAAGGCTGGTCGGCCACCGTCTCCCAGGGTCCCGTGGCTGGGAGGAGGAGCGTGGCACACTGAGCACGGAGGGCACATCCCTGTGTGCCGCAAATCTTATTTCTCTTCCAGGAAGTCCCCTCTCCAGGGGCCTGTGCCTGTTTCTGGCGCTGGTGCCAAGCTCTGTCGCCCTCCATCCTCGCAGTCACCAGAAGGGGGGCTTTTGCTGCGAGAACGCTGAGCCTCTCTGTTCAGTGTCTTGTCCACGTTTTCACAGCCAGTCAGAGTAGGGAGTGCCGAGAGGACTTGCACCCAGGTGTGCATGATTTCGCAGCCCCCAGCTCCGAGGGCTCTGTGAGCTGGCTGATCCCTTTCACAGCTGCTCTGCTTGTGACATGGGGGATGAATGGCCCAGAACCTGGGAGGTAGCCAGGCTGCTCCAAGTGGTGGAGGTCTTGCGGCCCTCACACCCCAGGTCACAGAGTGTGACCTTGGTAACACCCCTCTGGGGAGTGCAGCTTCCTGACCCACGAAACGGGCCAGCACCTTTGTAGGTTCGCAGTGAGAGTTCAGGGCATGGTACATGTAAGAGGGGTTTTGACATGTGGTCGATGTTGTTTTCATTGCCAAGCTGCAGTTGACCTCAAAGTGGAGCTAGTGTCAGGGTAGATGCAACACACCTGAGGAGCGGTCGGGCCCCCAGCTTTGCAGGTTGCTGCAAAGCCAGCCTTCTGCTCCCCGGGGCTGCTCCGTCTGCAGGTTGCCTGTCTGCGGCCAGCTGTGGAGAGGCTTACACGCACAGGAAAGCCATTCTGCATGGGAGGGGGGATCTGCTTGGAGTGGGGGGCCACACTGGTGGAGCGCCTGTTGTGCAGAGGGCCCGAGGGCCCGTGCCAGAGCCCGTGGGGAGGTGGAGAGGGGCAAGGAAACTCGAGACAGCTCCCTGCAAGTGTGAGGGGGTGGGTGGGGTTGGAAGGGCTGAGAAGGGGGCAGGCAGAGCAGTAGGCTCCCCTCTACAGACCTGTGTCATCCGGGCCTGGGACCTCCGCAAGCCATTGCTCTTCTGCCCCGCCATGAACACGGCTATGTGGGAGCACCCCATCACCGCACAGCAGGTGGACCAGCTCAAGGCCTTCGGCTACATCGAGATCCCCTGTGTGGTCAAGAAGCTGGTGTGTGGAGACCAAGGTGGGTAGGGTCACGGCCAGCCCCCTCCCCCCCAAGGCTGCAGAAGTGTTCTGCTTTGGGGGCAGACCTGCATTCACACGCGTACCTGCTGTGACCTCAGTAAAACTGATCTCTGAGCTCAGCTTTCTCAGCTGGAAAATGGCTCAGGCAGAGGCAGCCCCGGTCTCCTCTGTCTGCAGGCCACAGCAGAACTTTGCTCCTTAGGTCTGGGCGCCATGGCTGAGGTGGACACCATCGTGGACAAGGTGAAAGAAGTCCTCTCCCAGCACAGGAGCTGCCAACAGAGTTGACCCAGGAGTTTTGTCCCACGTGTCCCTCTGCATCCAGCATGTTCTCAGGCAGAGTTGGTGATGAAGGTGGACACTGGTAAAACATGGTGAAGATGGCGGCCCTTCTGAGCGGCCTGGGCCTGCCCTGGGTTAAACTAGACCAAATGCCCAGGTTCCCACATCTTTGAACTAGAAGACACCCACTTTCTGGAGTCCCTCCTCACTTTTCCTGAGGTGGTACAGCCAGTGAGAGGAGCCAGTGCTCTGCTGTCCCTGGGCTCCGGGGGTGACTGACAATGACTGAGAAGCCTTGATTCTGCCCTGGGCCCTGGAATGCTTTTAGAAACAGCCACCGTGGGGAGCCCCGGCGTGGCCGCGCCTGACCAGGCCTTGGAGCTTCGTCTCTGTGATGGAGTGCACAGGTGCCACGCGGGGCCAGGGAGGCCTCAAGTTGGCAAGACCCTGAGGTGCCCGCCGACCAGACTGTGAGACCAGCGTACTGTGGCGTCAAGAAAAGGGGCCTTTCAGGAAACTTCTTTCCAGCCCTCCTGTGGCGCTGCTGTGTGTGGCTGGGGAGCCTCTGGGTTGATGACTGGTGTCCTCGATTCCCACGCCCCGTGGTAGTTAAGGGCAAGGACTCTGAGGAATCCCAGCTCTGCCACCTACGAGCAGTGGCTCAGGTCTCCGCTCTCTGACGCTTGCTCTCCGCGTCTGTACGGCCCGCCCTCGTGGAGTTGCTGGGGAATTGAGTGAGACGGCAAGTGGGATGAACGTGGGCAGTGAATGTCAATTAAATGGAATTTAAAGCTAGATGTGTGTTCTTGCCAGTGACCCGTCTTAGCATTTGCTGACGTAGACAGCCCATTTTGGGAAAATCAGAATCCCAGGCCCTAAACTGACACTAATTCTGGAACCTGACCTGGGACCCAGCGCTCTCTTCTTGGTGTTACCCCGTAGCTTCACTATACCTGAAGTAGGGGCTGGGTGTCTGTGCCTTCACACCCCATTCCCTGCCAAATGACACTTGAATAGGGGGAGTAGACGCCAGAGACGCAAAGCAGCCCTCAAATACCCCCACTACCCTTCTTTGGCCAGTTGCTGTCGGATGGCTGCAGCAGGAAGGGGCTTATTTATCTCTTTGGATCTGAGGTTGGGGCTGGTGTCTGCCCTCCGTCTTCCAGGCCCAGGGGGAGTGGGCCCCACATGTGTTCCCTGGGACCATTGGGGGTGGAGAGACCTTGGAAGGGTTCCAGGAAGCCTACTTGCTGAAAGTAAGGCCTCCAGCAGCCTCCAAGAGCCTGTTCCTCTGCAGTTCTTGGCTGAAATCAGGTGACTCTGAGATTAAAAAATACTAAAAAAAAAAATAACTAAATTAGTAGCATCAAAGACTAAACCATTTGGGAGCCTCCCTGGTAGCGCAAGGGGTTAAGCAGCACTATCAAGCTATCCGCAGCCACAGCAGCACGAGTTCAATCCCTGGCCAGGGAGCTGACCCACATGGCACAGCAGACCTCTCCTGGGTCGCCCGCTGCTCCCCTCAGCAGTGTATTTCAGTAGATCAACCTGTTCTGCTCCACACTCTGTCTCTGGTGAATCCTCTCACCCTCCGCATCTCTGGTCTGCACCCCAACTCTTGTATGCATAAATAAATAAATAAAAATTTAAGAAAAAAAAAAAAAGACCAAACCATTTAGTTGCCTGAAGGACTGGGGTGTGAGGAAGGCCTGGGTAACTGAAATCTAGAGACAACCCCAAAGTCGCATTTATATGGATTCCAGCCTCCCTCCTGTCCACATCGCTGTTCTAACTGTGATGAGGCTTTTCCATTTGCATGGAAACTGCTACCACTTACCAGCACTTAAATGCCTGCTTTATAAGCCCTTGGAAGCCGAGTTCCAGGCCTCAGCCTGACGCCTCTGAAAACAGCTGTGGCTGCTCAGAGCAGCACTGAACCTTGTGGACTGGGAGGAAAGAGATGTCCCAGCAGATGTGGGCCAGCTGGAGGCCTCCCCTCTGGGGGCTGCCACCCCATCATGGCACTCACATATCCCACTGCCCATTTGAGTGGGGGTCTGGAAGAACGGATGTGGGTTGGCACTGAAAAACCCAATGACTCCCTGAGCCACACTGGATCTAAGAGGAGGCAGCAATAGGTGTCTGAGCAGCCTCAACCTGGCCCTATCTGCTAGAGGGGTGCAGAGCACAAGGGATCGCCCTGGTGCTCCCCACTAAGAGTTGAAACTTTGAAGTTTCTCAAAGAAGATGCTAGCCGCCCTGATCATTTTTATAGAATTCTGGAATTTTGACAGCGTTGCATTTGGGTCTGAAATTTGCACTCTTTTTGGGAGCCTGGAGTCTCTAGCAGCTGTGGACAAGAGGCAGAGACCTCCAGACCAGGGCCCCGCCCCCACACTGCTGTCTCCTGCCCTCCCAGAGCCCTGTGTTCCTCTGCTGCCTCCCAGCAGCCTCAGGGAAAGGCCCCGAATCTTGGACCATACACACTTGGCCCTCTGTGATCTGACCCCTGCCTGCCTTTCTAGTTCACCCCTTAACTGCACACCAACCCTGCAGGGGTCCCTGTCCTCTTGCGGGACTGGACAACCTTGAACGAGTCATGTTGCTTCTTGACTTTGCACATGCTGCTGCTTTTCCTGGGAGGCCATCTTCACCTGACTCTTACCTGCTCCCGAGGTACCTGAGTGCCACCTCCTTTGCTGTGCCTTCCCTGACTAATTAAGGCTGCCTTGGGGCCTCGTCTAGTACCTCCTCTTATTATGACACAGAATTGCAGTAGTAAGTTTACTCTGTGTTCTCCTAAAACAGGTGGTCTCCTGAGGCTGGCGTTGCCCTGTTCCTCAAAATCTGGGAAGTCGTTCCAAGCTTCTTATACTGACAAAATGAATAAAGGTGTGTATGGGGTGGTCCTGCTCCTTTCTGAGAGACACACACCCTATGAGCCATAAAAGCAAAGACTGATAAATTTGCCTTTAGAAAATATTAGCCCAGGGCCTCCCCAGTGGCGCAGTGGGTTGAGCACAGCACTGTGAAGCTGTCCGCAGTCTCTGCAGCGCTGGTTCAATGGTGGAGATTCCCACAAGGTGCAGCAGACCTCTCCTGTGGCGCCCGCTGCTCCCCTTAGCAGTGTATTTCGTCAGTCTGCCTATTCTACTCCCCGCTCTCTCTGGTGAATTTTCTCACCCTCCCGCACCTCTGACCTGTACCCAGTTCTTGTATAAATAAATACATCTTAAAAAAAATATATTAGCCCAAATGCAAAGTCAAAAGACAACAAAAGGGAAATTCTCTGCAGCTCATATAACAAAGGGTGAGTTCCCCCGACACACAAGCCCCTGTGCAGGGATTAGAAGAAGACCAAGAACACAAAGGAATGTGAGCAGAGGAAAAAAGAGCAGGGGCATGACCCCTCCCCTCTCTCCCCACACAGGGCCTTTAAACAAGGCTCCAGTGACCCCATCATGCTCATGGGAGCGCAGTGCAAATGACATGAAAATTTTCACTTACTACATTGGCCAGGGTGGTGCCTTCATAGGGGTGTAAATTGATACAACTTCTTTGGAGAACAATCCAGAGACTTCTATCAAAATGACATATGCATCTTACCTCCTGACCCAGCAAGTCTACTAGAGATTTATCCCGTAGGTAACTCACAGGCATGACACTGAGTGCACGGGCTGTTCATTGCAGCTTTGTACACGGTAAAAAAGATTGGAAACACGTGGAGATTGGTTACACCAATTAGGGTCCCTCCTAGAGCTGCAAGAGAGCACGAGGAGGCTCTAGGTGCTGATAATGGGTGATGTCTGGTTAGCCCCAAAATGCAAGATGAACAACACTGTGTATCGCACACTGGCTTGTGCATAGAAAGAAGTGAGGCAGAAAAGAAGGATCTATTCGCGCTGACTTGTGTGTGCGCCAAATGCCTGCGGAAAAGGAAACAAGAAGCCAGTTCATTGCTTGCTCTCAGCAGGGAAACTTGACTTTAAAGTTTTGAGCCAGGTGGACATATTATCTACCACAAAGGCAATAAATACATACCTTTAAAAAAAAAAAGTTCCTTCTGCCCTTTATCCAGAAGTTCTTAAAAATGTGTTGGCAGGGAGTTAATACAAAAGTCCTGCTAGGGGAATCTGGAGATTTCCATCAAGGACCTTAGAGAGGTAGATGGCTTTTGAGCACCGCTGTGTGCTCCTTGTAAGCCTTCAAGGTCCTTGAGCTCAAGGAGTTTATGGTCTAGTGTGAAGAAGCCTCAGGCTTTGAAACAATTAAAATAATCTAAAGAAAATCAAAGTGAGACTGGATGGCAGGGACAGTGCAGGCCCTGAAGTTCTGAGGGAGCAGCAGCCTGGCCTGTGGGGAGGGAGCAGAGCTCCTGCCAGTGTTTATGGAGGGCCAGAGCACTTAGAAGTGGATCCTGAGGGTGAAGAGGAAGGTAGAGGGGATACCTTTTACCCTCAGGTGGGAACAGACCCCAGGTGCCAGAAGCCAGGCGCTTCTGCAGGGGAGCCTGGTGAGTGTGGAGTGCGGTGAGATCAGCCTCCGGCCTGTGGTACAGATGGGAGAACCCAGAGGCCGGGGTCAAGGAAGAAGCAGGCTGTGCTGCAGGCCTTGGCCACACCGGCATTTAGGGAAGGGGGGGTGGTGCAAAAAAACGAGTGAGGGGGTGAAGATTAATCAGCAAGACAGTGAAAGCCACCGCCCCGCTGGTGGGGCAGGGGCCTGGGGAGCTTGTCGGCACAGGACTTCCACTGAGACCCAGGCACTAAGAATTGTGCCGACCACTGGTTTCCCCAATGGTTCCTGCGCGTCTGTGGTGTGGGGTTAGACAAGCTGACGCAGGACTGGAAGTGTGGGGAGAGAGGGGGAAGAAACCTTACTTTCGGGATTGTGTTTCCTTCGCCAGGGCAATAAAGGGGGAGAGAAAGTAAAGCAATTTGGAAAGTAAAGTAAAGAGAAAGGAAAGCAAGAAAGGGAAGGGAAGGGGAGGGGAGGGGAGGGGAGGGGAGGGGAGGGGAGGGGAGGGAAGGGTCTTGATTAACTCCAGAGGGGGCCTGCATGAAGGGGTGGCAGCAGAGCCATGCAGGCTGACCAGGAATTGGGGTACAGCTTTGATGGGAGCTTAGCGTGGAAAATTTAGGACGGAAGCTTCACAAGGCCAGAAACTGGAGGTGGGGGCAGAAATGGCCAATGAGTCTAATACCAGTGACGCCGGCGTGTGTAACAACTGCTGCCGCTTTACCACGAGTTCTTGTCTCGTGAAACCGTAGAAAGGAATTCACAGACTTTTTGGAGTAAGTAAGCAGAGAGAGACAAATCTTGTCTTTGAAAGAAGAGTTTATTTAGGAAGAAAAGAGACAAAGAAGAAAGACTCCCAGGTATAAGGTACCTGGGAGGGGCCGAGATGAGCCAGTACGGGATATTACTTTAGGAACATATACTTTCTCTCTCTCATTATGTTAAAATTGCAGTCTCTCTTCCTGATTGGCTAACTCCCAGGGGGTACTAAGTGGGGATTTCACATTCCTTATCTAACAGTTTTTTCTTTCCCCATTTGTTATGCTTATCACTTTACCTTTATGGTCTAGTCCTCCCGGTGAGCATCTCTACACTTTATCTTATCATCTGAAGAAAACCAGGACCATCCTTAACAAGATTGTCTGTGGTCCTAGGATGCTGGTTTTCCCCCTATTGTTAACAATGGTCCTGGGATGTTTGTTTTTCCCAGTTGAATTGGTTACATTCCCTTGGTTGTCCATATCTCTGAAGCCTCCCTAAATTCTTCAGAGGTCCCCTCCTGCACTGTCCCTAAAACTGCCTAATAACCCTAGCTTGCCCTGTCTCACCAGCTATGGAAAATCTGTAGGCATAGGCCGGAGGCGGGGATGTGGAGAATTTGTCAGTCATTACGAAGAAACACCAGTCCTTACCTATTCACCCAACCAGACCTTAGAAGTGATCAAGTTCATAATACATAGATTTCTATAAAGGACTAAATCTCCCCAAAGAATACTATATAAAGATGCCCTTTGGGCCTCCCTGGTGTAGGGGTTAAAGACAGAGCTATCAAGCTATTGCCAGCCACTGCAGCGCAAGTTGGATCCCCAGCCAGGGAGGTACCCACATGGCACAGCAGACCTCTCCTGTCTCGCCCACTGCTCCCCTCAGCAGTGTTTTCGGTCTGTCTGCCTGTTCTGCTCCCTGCTCTGTCTCTGGTGAATCCTCTCACCCACCCGCGCCTCTGGCCTGTACCCCAGCTCTTGTATAAATAAATAAATAAATCTTTGAAAAAACAACAAACAAGTTGCCCCCTGCTCTGGTAAAATGCAGATCTTGTCCCAAGACTGCCTGCCCGTGTCTATGCAGGCATCTCTTAGTAAACCTAGCAAACGTCTTTTTCCTTAGTAAACTTGCCCTGTGCCGCTGAATGGGAAACTCTGCCAAAACCTTTCTCAAGGAATCCAAGAACCCTTTTCATTCACTGAACCCCAACATCTGAATCCCATCAGTTTGAAGGTTAGCTTAATAGCACCTCTGAATTTCCATGGTACAAGAAGATGGGGGTTAAGGAATGTTTGAGGTTTGTAAGTTGGACACACTTTGATGTTCTCCAAGAGACCAA